GGGGGGGGGGAGGGGGGGGGCGTGAAACGGAATTGGAATAATGAGCCGAAGGTCTTAAGTACTATTTTGACCGTTTAGTACACACCATGCACTTGCATGGGAGAACAACGTGGAGAGCCCATGTGACGTCGCACGCTGCTGTTTACGCGTTGCTTCGCTTCCGCGATCTCGTTGTCTAATCATGGGTAAACTACCCGAGTCCCCCAAGTCTTGTTTGTACATTCGTATTTTTTCCATCATGTTGCTGCGACCCACGCACCGCGTGATTTCGTGCAGGTTACTGCGCTGTTGACCCACCACGTATTCATCTGGAAGAAGAGTGTCTCTGATGTAAGAGGTGATTTTGTCGACCACACGAGAAAGCTGCGCAAGCGAGCACCCGAAGGAAACAACACGTATCCTCCCTGTTTCTTGTTCCCAGCCCCCGCCCTTAGACCCTCGGTTCATTTCATTGTTACCTCTCGGTCTTCTTCGTCGAACCTTCATCGTTCCATCTCTCAGGAACGTCCGCCGGCCCCGCTCATGCTCGCCGGAGCTGGTACCGCAGCCCCCGCGGCAGCGGCAGCGGCAGCGGCAGCGCCGCCGACGCCGCCGTCGGAGTCCTTAGCGGCGTCGGCGTCGGCAGCCCAGGCGGCGACGGCGGCATTAGAAGTCCCCCTTGCACCGGTGGCCACAACCGCCAGCGATGGTACTACCAGCAGCAATCCATCAGTGGCGGCGGCGCCCCCCCCGTCAATTCTACCGCCGCCAGTTCCGGTGCCGCTGCCGCAATCCGCGCTCGGACTGCCTGCCGACAGCGCAGGTGGCGCGGCCGCCGCGGCCGCGAGCCTACAGTAGTAGGTGCCCCGAAGACAGATTGCCCCCCCTGTGGGAGCAAGCTGTCGGTACGTATGTAGCGAAAGTAGGTCATACATGTCGTGCGGGGTGGCCGTGCGGTGGGCTGGCGAAGGCGTTGTAGATTTCCCTCACTACTTGTCCGGTTCTCCCCGATATGGTGATTTGGCACAGCACTTGGTGGCGGAGAGGGATTATGAAGCCGGTTCCGTCGGTCAGCGACGTTTGCAGGCATGCTTCGTCCTCCCAAGGCGATGTGGGTACCAGCACTTGCTGTCTATAGGGTGGTGGGGCAATGAAAGCGTGCGCGGGAGGCTGACTGATCCTGGTGAATGCGATTGTTGTGGGTACCGTCGTAAGCCGCACGTACTGGCTACAATGGTTGCCCCTTGGATATCGACTGCGCACGCCTAGTTGGAGGAAGAAGTACTGGTGCTGCAGTAGCAGTCACACCCTCGCTCTGACTTTCCGCTTGGGGCGACGCTGCTTTGGTGATGGTAGTTGGTGGGGGGGGGGGAGGGATGTGTCGTTGCCAGGCCAGGCGAAAAAAAATATTTGATTGGTTGGGACCAGAAGAGCAAGAGCCTCTAGTGAAGGGCCTCTAGCCCACTCACTCTCTTCCCTGCTGCAACCGCTGCGGCAGGTTTGCCTTTAGTTCCGTCGATACTTAGTCGTGATCTAGCGGGTCGATCTGGTGATTTGCTGTTACGTTGTTGTTCCGGTTGGTGAAATTCAAAGGATAGTGTGCCGTAGATACAGCATGTGTGCAAACCTCGCTTAGATATCGCTTCGAACACGGCCCCAAGTTTTGATTTGGTGGTAAATTGCTTAAGTATTGTATGTGGATGGATGGAGAATCAAACGTGCTCCGTGGATTGCAATGCTACGTCGTCCCCGTTAGGCGCGTGGGGGTGTGAGGTAATGTAAACTCATGCCATGGTCGTTAGACCATTGACCTTGCATCCCTGCAACACGCCGGGACGAAGCGATATGCCGGTGTTTCGCCGGCCCGTTTCACAAAGATGAACCAGAAACTGGTCGAAGGGGGTTTGAGGGTATACGAGTACATACGAGCTAAGCATGATAAAGATCTCCCTTTTTTTTGTTGTCTGTGACGTGTATACTTCGAGTACCACCGTGTTGCTGTATGTGCGTAACAAAAGCAATCTGGTCCAACGATGCAAAGTATGGAGTATGCATATGGACGCAACCGCCCCGTTGTCGGTTTGATTGGTCATGGTCACCTCTCCCCGCCCGTAGTGTGGGTGTAGCGGAAGTGTAACGGCTTTTCTTTGTGTTGAGTGGAAGAGACGTGGACAACGCGTGGTTTGCCGTGTGTTTTTTCGTCTGTGTGCGTCGACGGCGCTAGCCGGCTGATGAAAACAAAATGAGAAAATGTGCGTTTCAAACGGGACTCCAGCGCCATCCTTTTCAGTCGCGCACGCAGAGGGGCATGCATGCGCATGCCGGCCGGCTGCGTACAAAAGGATGACATCAGCTGCCTCCCTTGACGCTTGTTGCCAAAAACACGCGATGTTGTACCTAGCTGCCAGATGCTGCAGGAACGTACAACCCTTCGCGTCCCCCACACGCATGAACACAAAACACGCACGCCTCCGTTTAAAATCTGGCGTGGTGCTAATTCCAAAGCAAGACGTGGACTCTCATGTGATCCTATGCATAAATGAATTGACGCCGTTCCCGACCCACATTTACGTCAACGTTTCGCCCGTGCACACGCTGGTCCCTCGCCCTTTCCTTTGCCTTCACCGACCGCTGTAAAAAGGGTGGGGTTGTGCGCATCCACATGCGTTATTCACACTATGTAATCCATGAACGTCTCGAGACACGCCTCGAGGAATGTCGACGCGAACGAGCGTGGCCGGGTACGACGATGCTTCCTCGCACACGCACAAAAGACTTTCGGTGGGTCACAAACCTCCTGCTCTTGTGTGACTTATCTCTCTGTCTGCCCCCCCCCCCCGTCTTTCCTTCGCACGCTGCCCCCTCTCCCCCAGCAGCCGAGCCCCATTGGATGTCTGAACGACTCGCTAGCGTCAAGCGATAAGGACAACGGTCGAACTCGAATGGTCGTCCCCGGTTTGATTTTCTAACAAAACACTGGACACCACCGCCGCCCCAAGATAAAATTGTTGTGCTGTCGTACGCTGCTGTGGTTACGCATGTCTCAACTTTCTTCTTGTTTTTTTGTCCCATCCGTCCCATTGATAGAGGCTGCGATACAGCAGCACAGGAAGATCACGCGAACCGTGTCCCATCTAGATTTTCTCGACAAAATCGATCAATATTTGCTCCGCACATGTCCATATAAGCGCGTGGTCGATGCTATATTTGCAAATCACTCCTCTTGATATAGAAAAAAGGAAACAAGGCCTCACTGAGGACACAGGCTTCCCTCGTTGGGGGGAGGCCCACGTCGCAGTAGTCTTTACCTACTACTAAGGGCTGGCAGTTCTCTTCGTTGAGATTTAGAGAGGAGAGGGTCTCAGAAGAGAGAGAACAGAGAGAGCGAGTGCCGCCGAAGGGGCGAGGGAGACCAAGCCCGAGGGTCTCAGATTCCCAAGCTCCACAAGTGGCGCCAAGGGAGATGCATCCATAGTCGGACCTCTTGCTGATCAACCATTAGTACGATCCTCCGTTCGGATCGTATCTTGGTCCTACTTTTGTTCGTGCAACAACAATGGTTACAGCACTTCTACACCTGTCATCCACATCACAGCTCGTCTCAAAAGCCCAACCCAGGTGAGGGCGTCAAGCCAACTCCCACTCCACGCCTTCACTGCACGGTTCGCACGGGCTCTTGACTCGGTGCTGCCGTTCATGCGTTGCGTCTCTCGAGTACAATTCAGTATTACACAGAATCCAAACGTTACTTTGCGCCTACACTCCTTCCTAACTGCACCCACCACGCTCTTGACAGCTACTCCCGACACTTTAACGTTCCGGACGATAACGTGCCCCAGAGGGCTTCGCTTTCGGTCCCGGCTTTAGGAAGGCGATGCTTTGGCCTGCCCCCGCCCGTCCGCTATTCTTTGCCTCATGTACTCGTAGGTGTTCTCCGGTATCTCCGTCTGCGAAGCCAGGGAAGGGGACGGGGAGGGTGGTGGGCGGGCGGGCGTGAGTCACTCTACTCCGCTTCGCTTAGTCTCAGCGAATACACCAAGGCACCCAACAGTCGCAAAGCCGAGATCTGGGCATTATTCGCTTTCGTTGCTGTAAGAGCCCGCGTTCGATGTTCGAGTTCTCTCTCTCTCTCTCTCTCTCTCTCTCTCTCTCTCTCTCCCTCTTTCTCCCTCTCAACGTGTGCGTCCCGCGCAGGGTACTCCCGCTGATACCGAGGGAGCGGGTACGGAGGTACAGCGGAGGTGAGCGCGCTCGCGGAGTCGCGGAGGTGTGTGTGTGTGTGTGTGTGTGTGTGTGTGTGTGTGTGCCATTGTCAACCCTCCCATTGGACACAAGTCCTGACGTTTGCGCCGAGCGCCTCCACATCAGTATCCCGCGGCCGCCCTAGACCAAGACAGATACACGCTCCATGGCCACTCGATTTGGTGACAAGCAAACGGATTGACTCCGCCAGGACCCAGCGCGTGGAACGCTACCAATGGGAACATCGCGGACTCTTGATTCGGCCGGCTGGAAATAACGACCCCCAGGACACCAACGTCCTCCGCGTCGTTGTAATGCCAGACAGCTTCTTTTTCCTTCTGACGCACACGCTCACAGACCGGGCGAGAACGCTGGACCCACGCGATATGGGTCAACATCGACACCACCAACGCCCACAACAGGAACACACAACATGTAACGGTACACGAGAAGACGCCCGATTCCTCACGTCGTGTGGGTCACGCGGGTAAGCCTTGTAGAACTCCCCCCACCAGGTGTGCACGGGCGGCCTGAGTCCCCCCTCGCTGCCGTCGTGAGAGTACACCAGGAGGGGTCCCTTCTCCCGCATGTCGTTAGTCCGGTACGACTGCTCCCGAAGGGTGCCTGCGACGATCGGGGTTTGGATCGGGGCAAGGGCGAGCAAAAAGACCACCAAAACTTTACTTTCAGGTGGCTCACCAAGGAGATGATGACAGCAATATACGCGATGATGAAAACGGCGTGCGCAAAACGCGGAAAAGGGTGAGATTATGGATGGCGGTGGATAGTGGTGTCGCTGCGGCAAAGTGCGACAGACGCAAAGGAGACGATGGAGGATTAGCCATGGGATCATTGGAGCCCGACGTCGTTGGCGTCATGATCTGCAAGCAGTGCAAGCAAACCTACTATTCACCATCCGGCTACCCATTGAATCCCTCTTCCCTGCCCTGTCCGGGCGCCCGTGATTGATACGTTTTGGCTGTAATAACAGCCACCACCACCAACAGCAGCAGGTAGCAACACTAGCAATACCATCACCCAGAACGACAAGTCATCACTCACCAAGAGGCCATTGAACGTATCGCACCCCTTCCGACGTCATATCGATGGGGATATGAGTGTGCCCAAAGATGTGCACGTCTGATCCCAGCTCGCGTATCTGCCGCTCGAGCGGAGCTGACCCGATCACCTGTTGGAGGCGTTTTCGTTAAGAGCATCGGTTCCGAACAGGTCGCAATGCCTCCGATTAAGGATAAGCGAGGCCATGCGTTGGGGGTTGCGCCGCCTCTTGACAGCATGCTCAACACGGCGGTGGAAAATGAAATCATAGTCTTGCGCTGCCCCGACCTTTCAGCACCGACAACTGATCTACACATGCGAGCCAGCACCGAGTGCGTAGCGGAGTTAAAGAAAGAACAGGCTGGAGACGCTCGGGGTGCACAGGTTCCGCAAGGAATGGCATCGTTAGCTACGCGTAGCTTCAGATACAAATCGAGTCCTACTTGTGCGGTTGACAGCCCCACGAAGAGAACTGCTATGTTCACGACACCAACATCCAGAAAACGAGCGTATCCAACCACTTCGATGATGCTTGCGTCGCCCCCCCCCACCTCCCTAACCCGCCCGGGACATTCAAATAACACGACAAACAGAAAGCGGTAAAATCGACCTCACCTTCGTCAACTGCGGCTCCCACAGGAGCCGCTTCTCTGGGCAGAGCTCCTGCCGGGGCACGAAGTGCGAAAAGCTGATGATCTTCGTAGCATGACCGCCACCGTTGCTCCCGCTGCCCCCCTCCCCCCGTCCACTGCCACTCCTCGGACTAGGCGGCGACAACATCGATCTCGACGGCCCAGACCCAACGCCAGCAACAGCCCCTTCCTCCCCCCCTCCCCCGTCGCCGATTGGTGGTGCCCCTGCCGCCGCCGTACGTGTCAACGGTCTCTTCGCCCGAAACGCCTGGATGCAGGCGTCATTTTGTCGAGCAAAGAACTCTGCTATCACCGGCGGTGCGTCGCGGTCAACCCTAACGAAGTCCTGCCGTTTGTGTCGTCCCGATTCGCGTCCAGCCCAACAGAAAGAAGAGAGGGCGAAGGTGCACGGCCGGTCCCAAAGACATGCAGATTACGAATCCGTGAGTATGGGCAAGCGTGTCGAAAAAACAGGTGAGATTGCTGGAATCATTAGGTGCCCGCGTACACAGGATGCGACGAACGAAATATCGAACCTAGGCTCTGACTATTACCGTTAGGTTCGTTGTCTGGGTATCTCGTCACTCTGTGTCATCGCAAAGCTGCGTAGGCTTAGAGCGGGGTGGGTAAAGGGGTAGCTTACTTCTTGCGGACAAGTCAAACGGAAAAAAACAAAGGAACACCAGCTCTCTACGGTAGAAACACAGGCAGCAAAAGCATCCAGATATATGGAGAGCATATCGCAAAACCCTGAACTCCATAACACCATCATAACATCATCATCTGAGAAAGCGTGACAACACACCACCGCTTCGTTCCAAGTAGCAGCAGCAGCAACAGCAGCCGTAGGAGCAAGAATGTTATATGCTTGCCTCGCGACTGCAAAGGTCTTCCGGCCAGTGGCAGTAGGAGTAGTCTCGCCACCGACGAAGAAAGTCCCCACGGCGTAGCTGAAGCTCTGCACGATCGTGCCAGATTAAACGAGTGCGCGAGAACCCAGCAAGACCCGTCAGTTGTGTTGCCAGGGGATGGGACGAGGAGTGGTGTGTGTGGGCCAAAGGTTACAGTGTAAGATTGGCAAACGAGAAACGAGAAGCGCTCACAGGGCTAGTTACATACAGCTCCCGATAGTCTAGGCTATGGGCGGCATCGAGCGAGAGAGATGAACTGAGACGTATTCCGCCAACCGCGACATATTTGTGGTGCTGCAAACCGGTGAACCCAGGGTATTTACTCAATCCGTTCCATTCCCCTGATAGATGACCAAGCTCTAGCGCAGAACGCACTCAAAGCAACCTAGTTTGCGTAGAACGGCGGCTCAATCAAATCGTCAATTAAGCTCTGTGACATACTTCCTCTACAAGGGTGACGTCCCGCATCATCGAGCACAACAGGGATGCGAACTTTGCCGTCCCACCCAGGGACAAAACCCAGGTCCTTCAAACACTACCTCCATCGGAGCTACGCTGTTCATTTCACCCAGGTATTGATGCCAGGGCAGTTCTTGGAAACTCTCTGCTGCAAAACCCCAACGTAACTACCATATATGACACAAGACAACACACCCCCTTGACCAATTTTCGAAGCTCGATTTTTCAACTGCAGGAACAGTCACAGCGCCGAAAGCGGCGGCGTTGAAACCGTCTCGTCGAGAGCTTTTCGAAAATGTATCGTTTCGTTTATGCATTCTCTTCGTCGTGGAGTAATCGAGCTTTGAAAATCGGTCCAGGGGGTGTGTTATCTTGTGTCATATACGGTATGAGGTACTGTACAGATTTTCGTAACATTGCTGAATCCTCGGCTTCCTTGAATTAACTAAATGCGATCTACAGCAACAACCGCCCCCCTCTCGCCCCCCCCCGCCGGAACACGAAAAGGAGGTGTCAAAACTCTGCGTTTCGACGCAACACAAGCACCTAGTATCCTCTTATCGATACAATTTCCTGAGGGTCCTCAAGGTCCGCCAACGATAGCAAGAGGGCGCGCATCACCTGGTGGAAGGTCGGGCTCGTCGTCCCACGACGCGTGGTACCAAGAGAGCAGGGGAAAAACCGCGAGCTCCTGCAGCCCCCCCATTGCCCCCCCCTTCTCCTCGCTCGTCGTCCCTCTCTCCGCTGCTACCCCGTTCTTTCCCTCTCCCCCCACTGCGAAAATCACGGGGTCGGTCCTCACGCCTAGGCTCTGGTCAAGACAGGGGGCGCGGGGAATGGATGGGTCCAGGAAGCGAGGTCGGATATACTCATAGCCGCGCATGCCATAGTCGTTAGACCATTGACCTCGCATCCCTACAAAGCCGGNGGGGGGGGGGGGGGGGGGGGGGGGGGGGTTTCTCATAGTCGTGCATGTCATAGTCGATAGACCATTGCCCTCGCTCGGGAGAGGTGTACCTCCCGGTGTGAGACATAGACTTCCTCAGAAGCCATCGACATACTCTGTCGTATTCTGTCTCCCTACCGAGGATCATTCAATGTAAGTATTGGATTGGATGAGGCCTCCTACGCTCCAGCGGGTAGCGACGACCGTGTCCTAAGCATGCTCTCAAGAGTTTCGCGATCCACGCGACAGCTCACTCGTTTTCGGAGCGAAAAGAGGAAGTGTCCCTTTGCGCTTAGACATTCCAAGACATCCGATGAGATCCGTGGCTCCATGATTTGTTCCAAATTTTGAATCCATCCGGTCAAATCGTATTGTAATCACATTGAAATACGCTTCTCGTGTCTATCCGATGCATGAAACACGAAGAACAATTGGCACTGATGGGTGCAGTCTGCGCAACCAACATGGCACAACGACACTTTCAATTCTCACGACCGAATCGCTAGAACAGCCTTTTTTGTGTCGACAACTATGTGTAACATGGACCGATTCCCCGCCAACCCACCTCGCACAAGGCGTGCATCTGTACCAGCTTCTCGACGGAGTCGACCCCCCCCTCCGGCTTGCGGCGACCGGTCCACATCTCGTGGTTCCCAACCACGAAGAACACCTGCTGCCGGGTATTTTGTATGTAGTGATTTGTTTGTTGTGCACGTTCTTCGATATGCTTCCTGGATGGGGCGCAATCATTGTGAACATGCTGCGGACAAGATTTTCAAGAGTTTCTCCAGGTTTGCACGCTTCAACGAGCTGTCTTGTGTCCCAGGTACAACTGCTGGTATACCAAGCCCACAGCAGGGTCTTGATTTCCAGCCCATGGTATGGGTTCTGTTGGCGCTATAGGCTTGCACACACGGAAGAAACTGCAAATGCTCATGTTTGTGTCCCTCTACAAACAGCGCGCGCTGACCCCGCTATAATACAGGAGTAGCAGGCCCATCCCTCGCCCCGCTGAGAGACTACACTCACCTCATCGTACCGCTCCATGAGGCACTCCAGAGTCTCGGCGGATCGTTCGAGGGAGGAAGAAACGTCGCCGGCGACGATAAGGATATCTTCGTGGCCCTCGCCCAGATCCCCGCCCTCGTCCCCCTTCCAACTCGCCCAAGATTTTACCCTGCACGTAGAGCATTCGGCGGCGGTGGACGATGCGGGGGGCGGCGCTCCAGTAGCTTGGTACAGCGACTTAGGCCTATCCATTGCACAACAACCTTGCTTGGGGTGTGGGTTTTGGTTTGGGTTTGGGTTGGGGGTAGGGTTTAGGGGTGGGTTAGGCCTGGTGGGGCCCAGCGCCGTGGTGCAGCCTGAGGGCTGGAAGCCTGCTAACCCAAAAAACTGTTGAATTGGCGAGTGCAAGAAAGTCGCCAGCTTCGGCATATATACGCGCGTCCGGGATGTAGAACAAGGGCGGGCGTACGAAACGACTTGTCGGGAATGCACGCAGGGGATACCGCAATGTCAGTTGGGGGTGTGGAGGTACTGTTCAGGCTACTGCGGTTGGAGGGAAGAATCACAACTACAGTTGTGGGTCTGCTGCTTGCAGGCACGGTTGCGGGATATCTGGATATTTATGTAACTAATGGTTTGAAGACATGCAGTAACAACTGATTGGTACAAGGAGAAGCAAGCAAGTGCGCACACATGCGTAGGCACGGTGCACAGAAATCAGCCCAAACCTCGGACTTAAGTCCGCTGCTCATCATCTGAGATCGCCAGGGGCGGAGGGTGAAGCGTACCTCAGGCAGAAGCAAGATGACCACTTCTTTGGATATTGTGGGGTGTATGTGTGAGTGCACTGAGACAGCTGCAATCCACTCTCGAAGAAACCGCCATTCGTTCAGCGCAGTGAAATCTCACCAAGCCAGGTTATCCTTGCTGTCGGTGTGTAGGTCCGACAAGCTATGCACCCTCAGTCCTCGCCCAGGCGGCAAGATAACCTGGTCGATGGGCCTCGAGAGCACCAGTGCTGCACCGGCTGGTGCAGACGCCGTTGTCCCTGGCACCCTTTCCACGCCCATTTCCACCGCTTCTCGAGCACGACGAGCACCACTTGACCCGTGCTGGGAGCAGAAGCAGGCCCCCCTATCTCGCCTGCTGCGAGGAGCATGCCCCGTCATCCCGACGTTCAGGCTGCTGCTGCTGCTGCTGCTGCTGCTGTCGTGTTGCAACCATGGGGAACATGTTGCAGTGGAGGCAGTGTGGATAGCGAAGCAGTGGCAGCACCAGCAGCAGCTCAGTAGCACCGACCAGGCCACGTGCCAGGCCACTCTTGCCAACCAACGTCCAGCTACCATGTAAAGATGTAGCCTACAGGCGTCAGGCCAGCGTGGCGGCGGGCCGTATGACAGGTGACGTACAGCTGGTAGGCAGAGCTGGGGCGGAGCGGAGGAATTTCCGGGTTCTCAGGTTTCTGGGAAAAACGCCATACAAACTACTGGCATTCCCCCGGCTGATGATGTAAGAGTTCTGCGACCCAGGTTGGTTGGCCGTTCCCTCCTGCCTCGTGTCGATTTCCAACCACATGATAAAATTACGCAGAATGGTTCAATTTTGCCGTGAAGAAACAGGGGCTCAATTTTCCACGAAAAGTACGAGAAAAGTGCTCAGAAACACCCAGGCGGTGGACCATACACTAATTCAATGTGAACTACGGCAAGCAATGGCATGCTTGACGGGGGCAACGACATGGATGACAACGAACTGAGCCTGTTGACGTTTCTTGTCAGCGTGTGCCTACTGCTGCAGCATGCAGAAGTACACCTTAAGGAAAAGGCCGAACTCTGCAGCACGCGTTTCTTGCCCTTTAACGGTGTACATCACACCCAACCTAGATAGTACACCACCACCAGTGCCTGTCCATGAAGTAACGAGGCAAAACCCAGATTCGTTTCATTATTGAAAACCAAGAATAAGAAGAATGGTGTGAAAAAAGCTCAGCTGCCGGCCTTAAATGAAATATAAGACGCATATCGTAGCTTCGCAATGTCCCGTGCTCAATCATCGAAACATAGGAACAGTCAGGCTCCAAACCTCGCTCAAAATTAGTGTTCGCCACGAGTGGGCCGGAACTGTCAAAATGACACGACCATTTACCATTGGCCCTCCACACCACCACCAACATTGACCATAAAACAAAGAAGTACAACACGCCTACAACAGTCTATGTAGTTTAACAACAACACGGAATGTTCAACAGAAATGAAACAGCCACCGGAAGGGAGTTGTCATCGTCATCACTACTTCTGTGTCGTGGAAACGCCAGGCAACATTCCGGCATCAGATGGTGCATCCGCAAAACTACGACAGGTGAATATCTCTATGAAAATGCCGGCACTCAACCGCCGGGCTTACGCAATTATCGTCACATCCTCTGCCAGAAGCATTCCGGTCTTCGCTAAGCTTGAAGAAAACGCAAAGCGGCAAACTTCACGTGGTTAGGAACAGGTTGACAAGGCCTATCAAGTAGGACACGATCTCCCCCGACCCCAGTTTCGATTCTCCGTAGATTCGGTCCACGAACGTGATGGGCACCTCGCCCACGCTGTAGCCCTTCAGTCTCGCCCGCACGATTACCTCCATCTGGAAAACGTATCCTTTGAAGGAGAAAAAAAGGGCAAAAGGGGGTTGCACAATAGTTTTGACAGAACATGCATTCGCTTGTTTTCGACATGAATTTGCGAGATCAAATCGCTTCACTTGAGCGTCTTTTCCAGAGTATCGTGCAGCGCACCGAGAGCACGCCACACAACACCACAGCAAAGCAGGCGTCCTTTCTTACAGGCGACATTCACGTGTCAGGTTCATACAAATGGACAATCTTGACACGCCCAGGTTCTAGAGGGTAGAATGTGGGCGTTTGACGCAAACATGGGTACCAATATTATATAGTTGCGCAACACCTTTAGCACAGCAAGACCAACTTGCCACCGTCCGGCTAAACACACAAGCGCACCTTTGCTTGTGACTTCCTTCATGATATCCTCCAGAGCCGCCTTGGTGAAGAGCCTATACGATCCTGTCAGATCCGTCACGCCCGGCGAGAGCAACGTGTGCGCCAAGAAGTTCGCCACGCGACTGGTCAGCTTTCGGAACAAGTCCCACCCTGCCACCTGAGCGCAAGTTGCGCGTTGTGAACGGTCGTGGGTGAGAGGGCAAGATTGTGAAGTCACGAAGAGAGCGGGTCCAGGATAACGAGGCCACCCCAGCATCAAACGAAAGGACGAGGGTTTCACGCGTTTGGTAGCAAACACGCAATAACACCGTCACGATTAACCCTAATCTGGTCCTATCCTAACCCGCTCTGCCCACGTTCTCCGTGCAACATCAAAGAGGGTTTCGAACGTGCCCCCAGGCAGGTAGGTGACCACTGTCTTGCTTCACCCGCGGAGCCCTTCGCTACACCCTTCAAAATCGTAGGCTTCTGTAATTTTGCGGCACACGCACTCAGCGTTGTGCATCTATCACCAGAGAGAAAGAGAAGCTCGCAAAGGGAAGAACGCGGTGGTAGGGGATCGCGTGGCCTGTAACAGCAACGGGGCGACGAACATTGGATGGGCTCGGTTCGTGCTCACCCCTCCGCCCAAGCCGTACCGAGTCCCGCTCACGACGTCGTGGTCGCCTTCTTCCATTTTCTGTACCAAATCAGGAATGTACCTGAGCACACAACGAGCACAAGGCGGAATATTTTGGGTGTCAGGGAACAGGCTTGTACGTGCTGTGCCATTGAAGGTTGCTGCGTTCAGACACAGCCCCAAACAAATACCACCTCGGACGAAAACACGGAAGTCCTGTTGTGTGAGAATGCATGGTTGGTGCAACCACCCGGCAAAAGCGCTGTCTTTCGCTGTACAAAGAAATTAATCTACATAGAAGTAGCACATGCAAAGAAAACCTGCCCTAATATGCACCCCGCGTCGCACAATGTATGCCCATCGGCATCCTGTGGGCTGACTCACTTGGGGTGGTGCGACATGTCAGCGTCCATGAGAATCACGTGCGTCCCCGTTATCATCCGCAGGCCGTCCATGTAGGCCGTTCCCAGACCCATTTTGCCAGGCCGAGAGAGAATCCTCACAACCTCCTTCCCGTAAAGACCCTGACAGGGATAACAACACGCCAGCCCAGGAAGCATGCACATTAGTAGCTATAGCTTAACAGGCCGATCGTTGGATAAACTGCAATAGTACGGACACACTTGGAGGCTTGGTGAGGCTTTTGGCAAAACAGAGGCGAACAGTAGTCATCGATGCATATTTCGCGGAGAATCTACTTGAACTATTTTTCAAATATGGAGACGGAAAGTTCGTGCCTAATAAGACGCTGAGGAAAAGGGGGTGCAACAAGCGAAAATTCCATACCAATTTAGACGTAGCCCCGGCTGGTGCGTCAAACAACATCACAATATTACGCTGGCGCCCAGAATTGTTGTTGTTGTTGTTGCTGTTGTTGCTGTTTTCACGTAAAAACACGTTCCGTCTCCACCAGAACGGACGGAAAAGAAAAACAAACGAGAGCTGTACCGGGGCAGCATAGTCTCACCTGCAGCATCTCCGCCACAGCCAGTGTTCCGTCTGGGCTACTATCCTCGACCACCACGATCTCGAAGTCCAAGTCGCTATGTAGGGCCAGGACAACCAGCACAATACAAAAAATGAGACTCGTATTTTACACGCAAACGGTGCGGGGTGTGCGTTTCATTCGTGTGCATGGTCTCTGCTTGCGTTGTGAAGTACCAAGATTGAACCAAGAGGGTGTACCTCATTCTCTCCGGCCCGTGATGGTAACTCCTAGTCTCAGTTGTTACCTCGCGTAGCGCGCAGAGGGAGTGGAGGACTCCAGAATATCTGTCGTTGATTTCTATTGACTTGCGGACCTCTCGGGGCCATTTTATTTGAGTGTACCTTTTTAGGGTAAGTTAGCCTGCGACCACGGGAATCGACCGCGTCGAGTGTTCTATCAGTACGGACATACGAAGGTACTGGGTAGAGAGAGATCGGAACGGTTTTTAATGTGAAGACAACAACAACAATGGCACCACCGTGTTCACAGCACTCGCCGACAGATGATCCGGTGGACAAAACGAGCCGCACATCGGTACTACCGACAAGAATACATACCTACAAGAGCACCAGTTACAGAGTCGCTGCAGGGTTCATATACGCTAGGTGTGTAGTACCAACTTCCAGCATACAGCAGTAACGGGGATGTTATAATTGTTGCCCATCAGTGGCACCGGCAGCACGGCGGGGATGTATGGGCTACCGGTACGCAAGTTCAGGAGGAGTGCACACCAGGGCTACAATGCAGCATGCAAATACAGCATAACGTCAAGGCCTATGTTTCTCCTTGCGGACACTCTGGCAAATGACTTTACCTGTCGTCGGAAAGGTAACGGATCAGCCGCACTGGCCCTTTCACGAAATGTTGTTGAAGTGAAGACGGCAAGGTAGTTCCGGACAGGTAACGGAATATTAGGGGATAAGACGGCAAGACTCCGTGAAAAAACTCACTGTTCTTGGAAGGTTCGTACGAGCATCCAGGTCGTCAGCGGCAGATTATCTCTCTCATTATATGTGGGCAGGATCACAGAGTACTTTCTCGCGCTGGAAGACGACTGAACGGATCCCGTCTGCGACCTTGTTGCCACCATCGCGACTGCTGTGGCGTGAATGCGGCGCGTTTCCGTTTGTCTCGCACTAGGGGGCAACGCATCAGCGTAGAACCGAGGTTGGTACCCGGGTATGCTCACTGGCTGAGCCCCTCTGGATGCATGAGCTGGCTCGCTGATCATCCTGCGATGCTTGGCTATCCCGCTCGGCAGCAGCAGCAACGAACTACATTCTTCACCAGCTCCCCCATGTCTTTGTAGCGTCATCAAAAAGTTCCCCAGGGAGAAGCAGAGAATTTTGCTACAACACACAACACACCCACGACATACCAGGCCCGAAGGTCCTGTTCACAGGCACAGCAATCACTGAGGTTGACGTTGAGCTTGCTGCTGCTGGCAGGACCCAGGGACCTGCTTCTGCTAGCCACTGCTGTTGAAAATCCGGTCAACGTGATCGGCGGTTGCGTGGTACAGGGAAGGATACTGCCGTGGGGGGCCAGAGCAAGCAACTGCAATCATCTGTCCAAACAATATCCTACCGGGCGGCGGCGGTATGAGCGGTCCCAGGAGACGGACCAGGAGCGGGGTTCTCTCCGCGCCGCCGCAGGTATACGTATCTATATCCATCGTTGATGGGTACCATTGCATAGCTTTTCGTAAGAAGGTGCTGCTGGAAAAAGGCACAATCCCGAGTTTCTTCTCCCCACTGCCATACGAAGCACGCAACAATGCATTTGTTGTTTCCGGCCGCTTGTCCGCTCCGCACCCACAGGTAGTCGCCGTCGAGTTCGACTCGTCACGCCCGGACAGCCGTAGGCCGGTCGTAAGCTACCGTGTGCTTGGCCAAGGTATGCAGATATTTAACTCCGGAATCCGCTGCTAGTTGCCTTAGTTTACACCACGCGCGATGGACAACAAGGCTCTGTGAAGTAAGACAGCGAACGAAGTCTAAGTTTTCAAATCTCGCCCCCTCTTCCCCTCACGTTTGGGTTCGGAGTCTTAGGCTTAGCACAGGTGGCCGAAAGAAGGTGAAAATTTGAAGCTCCCCTTAGGTCATCCGCTGAACCTAGAAAATCGCCATCTAAACAAATTGCACTGTTTTGTCTATGTTGCGCTGTGGTTGGTGGTAAAGATAAGGTTAAGGTCCCCAACGGCCTCTTGCAGGTGCTAGAAGCCGTATGCGACACATGTGTCGCATGCCGACTTGATGCCACGCGTTCGGTCTTCGTTCGTTTGTTGCGCGCTTCACACAGATGAAGGTCTTGTGCCCCAAAACAGCTGGAACCGAGTCAAGAGATTCCAGCCGAGTATGTCAGCCTTCATCAGGTAGGGATTCCGGCCGTGTATGTGCCTGTACATAGGCGAGGTTGGTCTACTCCCTCTATATGTTGATGCTAAGTGTGGAGACCACCTTCGTAAGGGTCCATCTCCCAACGTCTGCCGAGGACGATTCCCTCTTTCCACATAAGAGCGTCAAACTTTCTGCGTTGATTCAGTCGCGTTCGGTGCCTGTTAAACCCCTCCTCCATGTACACGCACCTCCATCGGTTTGCTTTCGATTCTATCGTGTGTGAGTGGGTTGGTGCACTGTGGTGTGTACACCCTGCTGTCTGGAAGCATAGACTATGTCATTTTCTGCCGGACCGTTCCACATAATGTTCCACCAACAACGCACCTTGTATCCTGGCGAAACCTGTCCTTTTGTGGGGGAATGCAAGTGTTGCGACACGTTCAGCGCCATTAAAAGTCTTTTGGCTACAGTGCCGTGTTAAGACCCTTCTGGGCGAGGCACGCGTTGTCAGCCCTTCCGGAGCTCCGACGATACGCGCAACAGTAGCCTCCACCGTGTGTGTATTTTTCTGTTTCGGGTGAGAATTCCACCTGCTGTCTGGGGTGGCCATTCTACTTGTATCGTTGCGTTCGCAGGCGCACTTTTCTCCCCACCGGGTACCCGTCCTCCGTGCGGAAGGAGTACATGGAGTACCAGACCTGGGACACCGTTCAGGTGCGGAATCGCGGTTGTTGCGTAGCATGCACAGTTTCTTTCGCTGTTGTGCGGTAGAGTGCTGTCCTTGTTTATATTGGTGTCCAATACGTGCCTTGTCCTCCTAGCCGCAGGCCAATGGCTTTCCCGGGAAGGTGAATAGCGTACTGGCCCAGTGACCTTTGCAAGCATGGCAGAATTGCACATCTTGGCCTACTTTGGTGCGGCTTCTGCTGCGGGCAGCCGCTGTATCGTGTCTTGGAGATTTTTGGACGGTGCGGCTTGCAGAATGTGCATTCAAGAACAAGGACGTTTACATTGGCAATAACTCCCGAGAATGTCGTAAGACTGCTGTCGAGATCTCGCAAAGGTGCTCAATATGTTGTTGTTGTTGTTGTTGTTGTTGCGTGTTGCTGCTGTTATACAGGCTCTCTGCAGCTACCTCCGCGGCGTGCTGTGTCTGACCGCCATGCTTCACGCCTCGGGTGTCGGAGATGGTGAGTTGAGGTCATTTTGCATGGTTTACTCGCATGTACGTGATGTAAACAAGACAGGTACCGTTCTGCGCGTTCTTGTTGGCGCGAAAGGGGTGCTTTGTCGAGGCACACGATCCTTCTCTCTCGTTTTGATCCACCCGGGGCAAGTCGGTGTCTGTCCTGCACCAAACCCGCTTGCCCAAATCAAGCCAAAGTCTGCGTTAGGTTCGCTCGCTGTTAGTTGGGCTTGCTTGCACAACACGTGTGTGGCGACAGTCTCGGGCGCGCGGTGGAGGGGGTCATGGCGCGAAAGCGGGCCTGGCCGATCGTCCCGCCCTGCCCCGAAAACCCGCCGCCGCCGTCGCCAGCAGCATGACGTCCACCACGATGGAATCCCCGTGACTCGCCGAGTGGCCGCACCTTTCCCTCCTGGGTCTCGACTCTTTCGTTGTTTTGTGCATACGCCATCTCGTCTCGAGACCCGCTCAGTGGCTGCCTCGTCTTCTTTTTGTTCCTTCCGACAGAGAACGCCTCCGCCATCGCTGCGGCGATGGTTTGGGTTCTGAGGGACGGGTTCGGGATGATCGGGAGCCTACTTTTCTCCTACGCGGCGTCTTCCCACATGGACAGCAACATCAAGGAGTGGCGGCTGTTCGCCGACATCGCCAATGACGTCGGCCTTACGCTGGACCTCGTGGCGCCGGTGTTTAGGGGCAACTTCGCCGTAGTGTCGTCGCTGGCTACCGTTTTTAAGGAAAGAAAGGACGTGGTGCATGCATTTCTGATTGTGGTTCGGAGCGGTGAACAGGAGCGTACTTTGCCTTGAGGCCCTTCCTTTTGAAGTGGCGGCCCTGAGCACACTCCCTTCTTCTTGGCCTTTGCGCACCTGCAGCACGTTTCACTGGGACGAGCTTCGGACACCCTCGCGCGGGCGGCTTTCGTCTGCGCTTGATCTCATGTTTGCACTGTTCTCTTTCGGACTGTACGTACGTTATTTCTTTCAATTCGATCTGCAAACATACGATCGTTCCTCGCTTTTGTGTGATCTGACAACCCTCATAACCCTCTCCCCCGGACGCGTTGGCTGGGCATCGTGTTCTCATGCCGCCGCAGGCATTGTGTGGAGTCGCGGCGGGTTGCACGAAGACGTCGATTACCAGTCACTTCGCCCTGAAACAGAATATGGCCGACATTTCTGCGAAAGAAAACGCGCAGGAGACGGCCGTGAACGTGTGCGGAATGGTAAGCTTTCGTTACTCCTCTCTGCAGCAATGTCTGTGAACGTCCGTCGGCGTCACAAGTAGCTTTCGTGACAAAAATATGTTGCTTCGCACCCTTCGCTTTACGCACGTGCTGTAGCTTCAATGTTGGTGCAGCTCTTTCCAGTGTTTTGTTTTGTGTCGTTTTTGTTATTGCTGATGACCAGAAGCTTCTTGGTGTTGGACGAACTGTCGGTGTGGGAGCTTTCCGAAGATTCTTCGTTGTGCGCTTTTGTCGATCAAAAACCTGCGCCATCACTCCCCTGTTGACGGAAGGCGGCCACTGCTTGGGGAAGTTGTTGTTTCATCTCATGGAAGTTGCGATGGTAGCTGCTTGTGATGTGGAGGCGTTTTGTGGGAAACCAATACGGCGCTACCTTCTCCTACCGTCCCTTGTTCCTTCCCGTCCAAAAGCTGCTGGGAGTAAAAGTGGCGTCCTATCTGAGCGATGCCCCCACAGGGAGGGTCTTAATCTTCGTCTTCTTCTCGCTGCTCCACGTCTACGCCAACTACCGGTAGATGCCGTCAATCCACCTCCTTCCGCTCGGTTTTATGTTAGTCTCGAGTTCGTTTTGCGGTCCCTGGACTCCGGGTCTGTGTGTCGTGTGTAGGTAGGGAGCAAAGTCGTCACGGGCGCGCTTGTGTCCAACGAGAAGTGGGGGAGTCCATAGCGTGCTCAGACGAGACAAAGAAGAGCACGCATGGTTGTGCATGTCGTGTCTCTACACTCCACACCCTACTACTCGGGCCCAATTCTATCGCGGACAGCGCGGTCGGTTTTCATCGAACGTGAAACTGCACTGTTGGGGTGGCAGGACAGGGCAAACATGGCTCTTTCGCCTTCCCTCCACCTCCCTTTTCATCGCGCTGATCGCCTCCGTCTGCGTCTTCTCCTGCCTCTATGACGCGTTTATCGTTCGTTCTCTCTGCAATGTGCGTGTGCGTCTTTCCCCTCCCCCCCCCTCTCTTTTTCTTTCTCGTCTCCTGGCCGTGTTTTCGCTCCTGCTTGGTCACACAACAGTTGCGTGTCGGCGTTGCACCTGGACACGCTCAACAAGCAGAGGGCGATGCTCCTCGTGCGGTCCTTCGTCGCCGGCAGGCGCGAGGAAATGCGTCCAGAGTTGATTTCCGTCAAGGTGAGGGTGGGGGTCTACGTACGCACCTGCGCTTGGTGATGCTCTCGTATCAAAGGTTCGAGATGTCTCGCTCGCTTGGCACGGTGATCTCGTGACGACTAGATTGAGCGTTTTTTTTTGTTGTTGCGGGCACAACTTCTGTGACTGGGGCCCTCTTTTGTATTGTTTGCTCAACGAAGGCCAACCAGACCCGATGCCCTTGTTTTTTTGCCCGGTGCGACCCTTGCTGCACGACAAGGAGCGAGTGTGGATACCACTGAAGCTGTGGTGGAAATACAAGCTGCTGGGAGGGCGACTGGCGAGCCTGGCCCAGGATCGGAGCTCGTTGCTTCAGCTCAAGGAGGTTTACGGGGAAGAGAGGTCAGCCAAGGACGGGGCTGTTGTATTGTTTTGCAGTATTTCATGTTCCTGTGTGTGTGTGTGTGGGGGGGGGGGG